CCCTTCATCAGAAAAGGCTTTTCTGATGAAGGGTCTAGGCCCGAAACGTCAGCCTCTCTGCTCCTATGATGCTGCTTGGCCTGCTGTGTTCATCCAGCCTTGCACCTTGTTGATTAAAATAATGTGTCTGGAAAGAATTTTCCACTAACATTCTGCAATTTGTTTATTTCTTTAACTTGAAGACTGACTAACAGCTGAAGAAATACTTACCACAGCAACAGCAGAAGACTGTAGAAGTTCTGTGGGAGTCATCACGGTAAAGTATGCAATATTAACCAGGATGTAACAAACTGTGACTAAAGGAATACCAATGATGATGGATAGTGGTAAATTTCTGTCAAACAAAGATCACCAGCTCCAATTAGAGTATTTAAAACTTGCAAACACAGCTTAATACAATACTACTAAAAGGTGATTGTTCATATATAAATCAACACTAAAATACTTCCATTGTTTTTCATGGTATTATTATTGCAAATTTTCAGTCTTTCTTAGACTCCCAGGCAAATTTACATCCTTGTATAAAACACTGTAAGGATTAGCCAAGCCATGACAGACCAGTCTGTTTAACTCCAATAGTTTGGAAACTTCTAGGAAAAATGGCCCAGATATTGTGATGATGATAGGGATGTTGGAACAGTATTGACATCAGGACTATGTGGAATCTGTGACATCACTGACTTCATGGGAATTGACGAGAAGTTGAATTTTGCAATGGGCAATTCCCCTGCATCTAGAACCTGCCGGAAAATGTCCATCAAATTCAGAAAATCCGTAGGTTTCCCACTCAGTCAAGCTTATCCAGGAAGACTTAGAACATTTAAAACCTACTGTCACTTTTAGTAACTATTAAGCTGAGCCCCGACCCCAAAATTACAACTGAATCTGCCAGTTGCAACTCACCCAACCTCTGTGAACCAACCCCAAATAGACCCAATTGCACATCTTCTGCCATCTGACACTGACCATCAACGCTTGACCTGAGACCACTCCAGTCAGCCTGACCTCCCCACACCAAAGCCAACACCCCTCCAATCTCCAACTAGATTCTGGACTGACACTGTTTCCATACACCCCTCCCCAGTCCCCACAATCCCTTTGTGCTCCACTCCATGGCCAAACCTGACCTGAACTGATATTTCACCATACCGGCCTGATACCACCCAGAAGCGAACATCCCACCCTAATGGGTTTATGGACCTCAGACCTGAGAACCCTGCTGTCCTGACACCCCTGGACCTGACCGCTCTCCCAAATGTCAGACATTATAAACCATCTACAACACCTCACACCAGTGGACCCAATGTTCTGTTACCCTAAGCATTCATTCACATATCTGGCACCCCAACCAATCTGGCATCCTAACCCCACACTTAATGTCAAAGTGTCTGGCCTAGTGCTGGACACAGAACATGCAGACTTGCTGCTATGAAAGGAATTGTAGTTTCTGCATTTACTGTCTCACTGCTGGGTACATTAATTCCTGGAGACGTTTGTAATGGGAGGTCCCTGTCTCCAGCAAAAAATATATGCAAAGGTAAATGGTTAATTTTTAACCCCAGTTGAGGTCAGAAATAGGATTTTCAACCCTGATTGCAATACGTGGGGCAATAATTTGAGACAAAATTAAAAGTCATATGGACAAACATGGATGAAATAAGAACATGGATCTTTTAAGGGACAATCATATTTAACTAACTAGCTTGAGTTTTTTTTTAACTGAGGTAACAAAGAAGGTGGACAGGGCAGTACTAGTGATGTACTATGTACATGTGTTTCTACGAAGTATTTGGTAAAGTGCCACACAACAGCCTTATATGCAAAGCTAGAGCTAATGGAATAAAAGAGACAGTCACAACATAGTTACAAAATTGGCTGAGTGGCAGAAAACAGATTGTAATTCTTAATGGATGATTGTCAGGCTGGGGTAGGTTTGTCCTGAAGCTCCATCAAAGGGATTGCCTTTCTGCAGATATTATTCCGCAGTATCATGTTTACAGTGACAAAAAGATGAGCCAGGAAGGAACTGATATATTCGGGCATTGGCTAAACCCGAAACACTACATGTGTAGTGTCTCCTACCCATCCTCCTCCTCTAACCAAAAAAAAAAGACAGTGTGGAGGGCCGGTAAGGTAAGGCTTTTTTTTTTATTCTTCTGGAAATCTAGAGTAGAGGGAATGGAAGCTAGGGCAGATGCATGCTCCTCTTGCAGGATGTGGGAGGTAAGGGTCACTGCTGGTGTCCCCTCTGACTTCACCTGCGAGAAGTGCACCCAACTCCAGCTCCTCCAAAACCGCGTTAGGGAACTGGAGCTGGAGCTGGATGAACTCTGGATCATTCGGGAGGCTGAGGGGGTGATAGAGAGGAGTGATAGGGAGGTGGTCACACCCAAAGTACAGGAAAAAGGTAGCTGCGTGACTGTCAGGAAGGGGAAAGGGGAAAGGCAGACAGTGCAGGGATCCCCTGAGGCTGTTCCCCTTAATAATAAGTATACTGTTTTGGATACTGTTGGGGGGGGAGCGACTTACCAGGGGAAGGCCATAGCGGACAGGTCTCTGGCACTGAGCCTGGCCCTGTGGCACAGAAGGGAGGAGGGGAGAATAGGAGAGCAATTGTAGTGGGGGATTCGGTAGTAAGAGGCACAGACAGGCAGTTCTGTGGACGCGAACAAGATGAACAGATGGTATGTTGCCTCCCGGGTGCCAGGATCTGTGATGTCTCGGATCATGTCTTCAAGATCCTTAAGGGGAAGGGTGAGCAACCAGCAGTCATGGTACACATCGATACATATGACATAGGTAGAAAAAGGACTGAGAATGTGAAAGACAAGTACAGGGAGTTAGGTTGGAAGCTGAAGTCCAGTACAAACAGGGTAGTTACGTCTGGATTACTACCAGTGCCACGTGATAACGAGGTAAGAAATAGGGAGAGAGTGCAGCTAAACACGTGGCTACAGGGCTGGTGTCAGAGGGAGGGCTTCCATTATGTGGATAATTGCAGCACATTCTGGGGAAGGTGGGACCTATACAGGGAGGACGGGTTGCACCTGAACTGGAAGGGCACAAATATCCTGGGAGGGAGGTTTGCTCGAGCTGTACGGGATGGTTTAAACTAGATTGGCAGGGGGTGGGGAACCAGATTTGTAATTCAGAGGATGAGGTATTCAGCCTTCCAACAGACACAACAGGGAGTGAGGTTGTTTATAAAGAAATGCGGTCGATGGAGCATAATTGTGGACACAGAGATGGTTTGAGGTGTGTATACTTCAATGCTAGAGGTATCAGAAATAAGGCGGATGAACTTAGAGCATGGGTCGGTACTTGGAACTACGATGTTGTGGCCATTACAGAAACTTGGGTAACTCAGGGAGAGGAATGGTTGTTGGAAGTTCCGGGATTTAGATGCTTTAAAAGAAATAGGGAGAGTGGAAAAAGAGGCGGGGAGTGGCATTGCTAGTCAGGGCGCGTATAGCAGCTACTGAAAGGCAGTTCGAGAATGATATGTCTACAGAGTCAGTTTGGGTTGAGGTCAGGAACAAGAAAGGAGCAGTCACTTTGTTGGGGGTTTTTTACAGACCCCCTAATAGTTGCAGAGAAGTAGAGGAGCAGATTGGAAGGCAGATACCGGAAAGGTGCAGAAGTCACAGAGTTGTAGTCATGGGTGACTTCAACTTTCCAAATATTGATTGGAAACATTTTAGTTGCAACAGTTTCGATGGAACGGATTTTGTCCAGTGCGTTCAGGAAGGATTCCTGACACAGTATGTAGATAGACCAACACGAGGAGAGGCCACTTTGGATTTGGTGCTTGGCAATGAACCAGGCCAAGTGTCAGACCTGTTGGTAGGAGAGCATTTTGGCGGTAGCGATCATAACTCTGTTACTTTTACAATAGTCATGGAAAAGGATAGGTACATACAGCAGAGTAAGGTTTATAATTGGGGGAAGGGTAATTACAATTCAGTTAGGCAAGAATGGGTAACATAAATTGGGAACAGATGCTGTCAGGGAAGAGCACTATTGAAACGTGGAGATTGTTTAATGAATGCATACTGCATGCGCTCGATATGTTTGTCCCTAGCAGGCAGGGAAGATGCCGTCGAGTGAGGAAGCCTTGGTTCTCAAGAGAGGTCGAACATCTGGTTAAGAGGAAGAAGGATGCTTATATAAGGTTTAGGAAACAAGGAACGGAAAAGGCTCTAGAGGGATACATATTATCCAGGAAGGAGCTGAAGAAAGAGCTTAGGAGGGCTATAAGGGGACATGAGAAAACCTTGGCAGATAGGATCAAGGAAAACTCCAAGGCTTTTTACATGTACGTGAGGAATAAGAGAATAACCAGAGAAAGGGTAGGGCCAATCAAGGATTGTAAAGGGAATTTGTGCATGGAGCCTAAAGAGATAGGAGAGGTCCTTAATGAATACTTTTCTTCAGGATTCACAACTGAGAGGGACCTAGTTGTAGAGGAGGACAGTGTGAAACAGGCTGGTTGGCTAGAGGAGGTCGATGTTAGTAAGGAAGATGTGCTAGGAATTTTGAGGAAGTTGAAGCTCGATAAGTCACCCGGGCCTGATGGGATTTATCCAAGGATTCTATGGGAAGAGAGGGAAGAGATGGCAGGGCCTTTGGCGATGATCTTTTCATCCTCACTGTCCACGGGTATAGTGCTGGAAGATTGGAGAGAGGCAAATGTCATCGCTTTGTTCAAAAAAGGGAATAGGGATAACCCCAGAAATTACAGGCCAGTTAGTCTAACTTCAGTGGTGGGCAAATTATTGGAAAGGGCTCTGAGAGATAGCATTTATGATCATTTGGAAAGGCACAGTTTGATTCATGATAGTCAGCATGGATTTGTGAGGGGTAGATCATGCCTCACAAACCTTATTGAATTCTTTGAAGAGGTGACCAAACACGTGGATGAAGGTAGAGCAGTGGATGTGGTATACATAGATATAAGTAAGGCGTTTGATAAGGTTCCCCATGGTAGGCTCATGCAGAAGGTAAGGAGGCATGGGATAGGGGGAAATGTGGCAGATTGGATTCAGAATTGGCTGACCCTTAGAAGACAAAGGGTGGTAGTGGACGGAAAATATTCAACATGGTGCTCAGTTACGAGTGGTGTACCACAAGGATCTATCCTGGGTCCTCTTCTATTTGTGATTTTTGTAAATGATTTGGATGAAGGAGTGAAAGGGTGGATTAGCAAGTTCGCGGACAATACGAAGGTGGGTTGCATTGTGGACAGTGCGGAGGGCTGTTTTAGGTTACAAAGGGACATTGATAGGATGCAGAGCTTGGCTGAGAAGTGGCAGATGGAGTTTAACCCTGAAAAGTGTGAGGTGATTCATTTTGGAAGGACAAACTTGAAAGCAGAATACAGGGTTAACGGAAAGATTCTTGGCAGTGTGGAGGAGCAGAGGGATCTTGGGGTTCATGTTCACAGTTCCCTGAAAGCTGCCACCCAGGTGGATAGAGTTGTTAAGAAGGCGTATGGTGTGTTAGCTTTCATTAATAGAGGGATCAAGTTCAAGAGCCATGAAGTTATGCTGCAGCTATACAAAAGCCTGGTTCGGCCACATCTGGACTATTGTGTCCAGTTCTGGTCACCTCATTACAGGAAAGATGTGGAGGCGTTGGAAAAGGTGCAGAGGAGATTTACCAGGATGTTGCCTGGAATGGAGGGAAGGTCTTACAAGGAAAAGTTGAGAGAGCTAGGGCTTTTCTCTTTAGAACGACGAAGGATGAGAGGTAACTTGATAGAGGTGTACAAAATGATCAGAGGTATAGATAGAGTAGACAGCCAGAAACTTTTTCCTAGGGTGGAGGTAGCTTTTACGAGGGGGCATAGTTTTAAAGTGAGTGGGGGTAGATACAGGGGAGACATCAGAGGTAGGTTCTTTACTCAGAGCATGGTAGGAACGTGGAATGCATTTCCGGAGAGGGTAGTGGAGTCGGCCTCATTAGGGGCAGTTAAGCGGCTATTAGATAGGCATATGGATGATAGTATAACGTAGGGTTGGAGGTTAGATAGACCTTAGGATTAGGGTAAAAGTTCGGCACAACATTGCGGGCCTAAGAGCCTGTACTGTGCTGTACTGTTCAATCTTCTATGTTCTATGTTCTATTCCTCTCATTTCTAACTCCGATATTATAACTTATTTAGTTCAAGTTGGAAGCTGTTTAAATTGTACTTGTATGGGGTATCCATGCACAAAGCCAGTGTAAAAAAAGTCTCCTCTTTAATTTCTGCATTATAGTTTATGTGTTTTGTGTAAGTCTGAAGTGTTCCCTTTGACAGAGCAATGCTGTCATTTTGTTACAATCCCTTTCTGTGATACAGAATCAAAAGTAATTAAATTTACCAAATGACCCTCAACTGAAGAAATTATAAACATGTTACCATTTTTTGTGAATTTTACTTTAACATTAATCAAAACCAAAGCAAATTAAAAATGAATTAACAGGCAAATGATACTTCAGAGATAAAGATAAAAATAACTTTAAATGTACATTAAACAAAGATACATCTTGCAGAACTGGGGTGCGATTCTCTCTCTGCTCATACACATGTCCCTAAAGAATCCCAGGGCAGGGTACCTCATTGTCAGGCACTCAGCCTGGTTGAGGAACTTGGCACCAGGAAGTGTGGGAGCCTCCAAAATCCATTCTCCCTGCCACAATCCCTCCTCCTCTTCAATGACCCTGACCTTGTAATGCCCATCCCACCCCCACCCCCACCCCCACCCCCACCCCCACTCAGATATGGCATGTCCCTCACTGCTCCAGATGATTAAGAAGGTGAATTCCCAACAGCTGCCTGCTGTGCATTAATGGAGTCACATGAGAGAATGCGCCTTAGAATGAACATCTTTAAGAAAATGGTTTCCAACAGCCTGTTTATGCCATGCATTATTGTCCCCTGACTATGAAGATCCAAGGTATGCCACTAAATACGAATCATCAATTTGCATACTTTGGGAGTCTCTTTTTATCAAGGCAGACATTGTCAATGGAATTCAACATCCTTACCACTGTGCCAGTGCATGAAACTCAGCACCAAGCTGATGGTCTACAGAGCAGTAATGTTGCCTACTCTTCCGAATATATTGGACACATGGTCAATGTATAGCAGACATCTCAAATCTATACAGAAGCTATCACCCATGATGCCTCTGCAAAATCCAATGACAGAGTAGCTGCTTTAATATCATGTTCTTTCTCAGGTCAAACGTTGAAGCACTGGTTACTGTTAATCAGCTGCATTGGGCTGGCCACGAGCCGTCCTACACAAGCTGTCTACTTTGAGCCTCGTCATAGAAAACAGTTTCCAGGAGGGCAGAGAAAATGTTTTGAGGACATCCTCAAAGTCTCTGTTAAGAAATTCAACATCCCTTCCTACTCTTGAGAACCTCTTTCCCAGAACTACCCAAACTGCAGAAGAAGAACCAGCAGAGGTACCTGCCATTTAAGACTCTCAAAAAGGCGCAGGCAGAGGCCAAGCACAAACAGTGGAAGATGTGTGTGAAAACCTGAGCATTTCACCCAGCCACCTCTTCAAACACCACCCACATCAACCGCGGCATAGTATGTGGATCCAGTGTTTGACCTCAACAGGTGACTGGCTCATTATCTCAGGACCCATGCATCCGGAGTGCAAGAAAGTCATCCTTAGTCTCAAGAGACTGCCTAAGATAACCAATAAATAACTTTGAAACGTAGGTACTGATATGTGGCTAATATTTGTCCAACACAAGATCCCACAAATTTTTAAAAAATAAATAACGTTAATCTATTCATGACTCTCAGCTGAAGGAGAGACATTGCCTTGGACTTCAGAAGAAAATTTACACTGTTCAAATGATGACGTGAAATATACTATCTCCAATTAGACCAGTGAAACAGACCACAAATTAAAAACTAAGGACCGCAGATGCTGGAAATCTGAAGCACAACGGAAGGTGCAGGAGAAAGTCAGCAAGTCAGGCAGCAACTGTATAGAGAGAAGGAGAGTTTAATGTTTCAAGGCCACTGACCCTTCATCAGAACTGAAAACAGCTGGGGAATGGTGGAATTAACTAGGTGAAGGATCACTAGATGTGAAACATTAACTTTGCTTCTCTCTCTGTAGATGCTGGCAGACAAACAAACAGGAGAGCCTTAGTTTAACATTTTGCTGAATCTATTGACACTCCTTTAGTACTGCCAACCTTGATTATATGCTGAAAATTCAAAACATTTCATGTTATTAATATTGATTGGTGGTGAAGGACCTAAATATATTTGCATTTTGAATGCAAAACCATGGGATTTTCCTACCTGTAGGGATTCTTCAATTCCTCTGTGATAAAGTTGAGCTGATTCCTAGAAAGGCCAGATGTAAGCACAGTATACATATTAGTACCAACATCGAATGAAATTGATTTACTGTGCCAGATTCCTTTAAATATTTTGCGTGCTTCCAAAAATAATTACAAACTTCTGAGCATCTACATTTGATAGCAAGGATTCCATATAATTTAGTTAAACTTTTAATATATAGGCATTATCCATTGAATCATACAACAAGATAGAAAACCAAAAGTAATTAGACAGTCTCTTACCATCCATCATAAGACCAAAGTCCATTATAAAATGCCAAACTAATAGAACCAAAGGAGGTTTGAGCTCCATCAAAGGAATTTTTAAAGTTCTCTGTATTTCCTGCAGAGGAGAATGTGCATTACATTACATAATTGTTACTTTATATGTTTGACTGACGCAGTCATGGTATTTCTTAGTCAGTCACAAATAATGTCACTTTAAGGTATTTGAAAAGTGATCATAACTACAAGGCCCGCCATCACCTTCACAGGGGAACAGAGGATGGGCAATCAAGCAACTTTGCTTGTATTGCCTACAACCAGAGAATACATTTTAAAATGCCTCTGTTTGCTTGTTTAAGAAGAAAGTTTTTAAAACAGCATACCAGTCACTACTTGAAGCAGAGTAAGAATGATACCCTGGCCAACATATTTCATTCATCCAATACTGCCATTAAAAACCTGGTCTCTCTTGTTGAAGAATGGTTACGACTTTGGCCTTTACGACCATGGTCACTGCATTCCAAAAGGTATCTGTTTTAAGATTTTTTTGTTATGGTGCTATGTACATTCAAGTATTTATTTAATTGTCCAATAATAGCCTACATCTGTTAATCACAGCCTGAATACTATCCATATTTAAAGGACTGATTGGCAAATTATTTACAGGCACCCTTTGATATTACTTTATTACATTATACATTATGTTAGGAAGCTTTCTTCTCAGTCACCCAATTATCCAGCCAAATTATGTTTGTTAAAAATGGAATACAATGCACTTGCAATTGGTGTTGCTGTAATAATGACATGCAGATATAACTTTAACTTTGAAAAATTAGCCAAGGTACAATAAGCGAAATGAGGAAAAAATGATCAGGTATTTCATTATTTAAATTGACCATTGTTAAAGTACTGATTGGCAAATTATTTACTGGCAGCCTTTGATATTGCAAAATTTTATTCTGAGTAGAACCTAAACCTTTCATAGTTTGAGACTTTAATCCATATATGTAGCCATTACCTTCTCCTTGAGTTAAACACTAAAATATTCTACATCAAATTATTCCAATAAAATTTTCATAAATGATGTATAAATTTAGATATTTCTCTAAAGTCCAGAGAAAGCTCTAATTAAGTAATTTTAAATGCAAACGTCTCTGTTATAATGATCACAAGTAACATTGAATAAACCAGGACAGCAAAATTAAAGTCTTGAAACTTAAGTCCTAGAGATGAACAGACATTTTTAAAAAGGACAAGTTATAGGTAAAGCTGATAAGAACAATATTAAATTTAATCTAAGAATGGGCATTTAATGCAACTTTCTATTGATATTCATTGTCAGACATCAGTAACATCCCACCTTGTGCGAGTAGAACAATCCCAGCCACAGTGATGACAACAATAATGATCAATTTGGCAGCAGTTAAAAAGTTCTGAACGTAGCTAGCCAGTTTGACGCTAATCGAGTTCAACAATGTGATTAAAGCTGAAAAAGATAATTTAAAAAATCAATAATCACCAAAAAAGACTGACAATTTCGCATTTAGCAATCTCAAAGAATTAACTAAAGTATGAAATGTTTCATCCTAGAATATATCTAAACCCATAGATGGAGGACAGCAAAATTAAAGTCTGTCTTGAATGTTTGGTGGCTCAGTGGTTAGCACTGCTGCCTCACAGTGCCAGGGGCCTGGGTTCGATTCCACCTTCGGGCAACTGTCTGTGTGGAGTTTGCAGATTCTCCCCGTGTCTGTGTGGGTTTCCTCTGTGTGCTCCGGTTTCCTCCCACAGTCCAAAGATGCGCAGGCTAGCTGGATTGGCCATACTAAATTGCTGTAGTGTTCAGGGATGTGTAGATTAGGTCATTTAACTGGGGGATGGGTCTGTGTGGGATGCTCTGGGGGTCAGTGTGGACTTGTTGGGCCAAAGGGCCTGTTTCCACACTGTAGGGATTGTATGATCCAATCACCTAATTCTACTTTAGACAGTGATATAAGTGTGGCCAAGCTATCATACTCAGTCATGACCCACACCAGCTGAGAGGAGGGGGAAGAAGTTCAAGGTATGCGGTCAGGTCAGATGGAGCAGCTCCATCATGTCCAAGTGGACCCTGAAGATGTTAGCAACCAGTAGAAGCCAACCCACTTGTTCTTAAAAAGGTGCTATCAGGCAGTAGTTACAAGACAAAGAGTAACCAATGGCTCAAGCAGGCAGTGAGGAACCTGAAGAGTACTGCAAAGACTTCCTAGTGCAGACTTCAATCATCAGTATCTCGGCCTCTAACTTCACAGGGTTGGCCATGAGGAGAGGCTGCAAGTTGGAAAGGCAAGAATACGGAGAAGTCAGAAGGTTGAGCACTAGGAGAGGTTACCTGTTGAAAGGCTAGGGCACAGGGAGCCATCTTCATTCAGAGCACAGGAGAGGCCATGCCAAAATGGCACCACTGGGTTAGGTAAATTACTTTAAAATGAATCTCATGTCACTCAACAAGGTTACCAGCCCAAATAAGTTATTGATATTAAAGCAAAATAATATTAAACTAAGCAACATTAAATGAAGACTTAATAGTTTTTCAGTATCAACTACAGTCATTCCTGACCACAGCTTCACTCTCCTGGGCTGTATATCTTTCCTCTGCCACTTTCAGATTTTACCGTGATCTGTATGTGGCTATCATCTTGCTGCCTCACAGCTAATCAACATTCCTGGATCTTCATTCCCAAGAAATACCTCTATCAATGTGACCTAAAATATTCTACCAGGACATCATCTGTCTGCCATAGCCAAGTCTTCCTTTAGGATACTCCTTTTCAACATACCTCTTTGACCATTTTGATCTTTAATGGTACTTGCTTATTAAGTGTCTTAGTGTTAAATTTTGACTCATAATGTTCCTCCAGCATCTTTAGTCATAAAATTAGAAGCAATTATATATGTTTGAGGAATATGAACAATAATAATACTTACTAATTGCAACTGCAGCAAGGCATTTGATGACAATCTGTGGGGTCTTACAGCCAGGATAGAAGGGTGTGGCTGCATATTCTGCAAAACTCAGACAGATTATAGCAAATGAAGTAGGTTTTACAACAACGATACACATCCATGAATACAGGAATGCAGGAATTGGGCCAAAAGCTTCCAGCAGATATGAATATTCCCCTCCTGATTTTGTGATCATTGTTCCCAAGTCAGCATAACACAGTGCACCTAGCAAAACAACAAAAGTACCATCAGAGCATTTTGCATCATTGTATCTACAAGATTAGTCTCCAAGGATATATTTGAGATTAATTCAAATTCTTCACATTGTGAACACAAGAATGTAAGAAATAGAAACATCCCATTGATCTGTGGTTCAATATGATCATTGCTGACCTTGGTCTTCAACTTCACTCTCCCACATACTCCCCTTGATTTCTTGAGAGACCAAACATAAAGTCATAGAATCCCCACAGTGCAGATAGAGGCCATTCAGCCCATCGAATCTGCTTCGCTCACCTGAAGAGCATCCCATCCGGACCTTGTAACCCCACATTTAATATGGCCAATCCACCTAACCTGCACATCTTTGGACTGTATGAAGAAACCAGGTGGAAACCCACTCAGACAGGGTGGGAGAATATGCAAACTCTACACAGTCACCCAAGGATGGACTCAAACCCATGTCCCTGGCACTGTGAGGCTGCAGTGCTAACCACTGTGCCACCCTGCTGCCTTTCAGCTTTCATTTTTTATCTTTCCACCTTAGCTCTAAAACAGTCAGTGAGGAAGCATTCACAACCCTCTAATGAAGGGAATTCAAAAGTTTAAAAACGCCCTGAGTGAAGAAGCCTTCTCATCTCAGACTTAAGTGATTGGCTCCTAGTTCCCTTTGTTCTAAATTGCCCAGTCAGTGCAAAGAGTGTTTCTGTACCTACCCTGTCAGGCCCCTTCATTATCTGGCATGTTTCAGTGAGATCAGCTCTCATTCTTCCAAACTCCAGAAGAATAGGGCTAATTTACTCAGCCATGACAGGACAATCTTCTCATCCCAGAGACTAATCTGTTGAAATTTTTCTTTAGTGTCTCTAATGCAAATACATTGTCTCTTAAATATGAAGACCAGTTATACGCTGTTTTCTCAGTGTGGTCTCATCAAAACCCTATGTAATTGTAGTAAGACTTCTTTACTCCTATACTCCGAACATTTTGCTTCAACTGGCAATGCATCATTTGCCTTTCCAATTTCTTTGCTGAACTTGCACACTACTTTTCTGTGTTCCATGTACAAGTGCACCCAAGTGTCTCCAAACATCAACAATTACAAGTTTCACTTGCTATAATAAATAATATTCTGCATTTCTACATTTGCAACCCACCTCCTGGCTCGTTTCCTTCTCACTGAATCTCGCTGTGTCAGAAACCTTTCTGTGTCTTCTTCCAAGTTTGCATCCACACCTAAATATGTCTTCAGGAAACTTAGATGCATGACTGTCTGTCTCTGTTTAAGACATTGACATTGACTGTAAATAGCTATGGTCACAACACTGATAACATTCAACTACTCACAGTCTGCCAACTTGAAGTTTTCCCATTTATCGTATTCTCCACTTTTTATCCATTACCCAAACCTCTATCCATGCTAATATATGACCCCCAACTCCATGCGCCATTGTATTGCCTATTTGTGGCATCTCATCTAATGTCTTAAAATCCAGATATATACTGCTATGATCCAAGTTGATGGTAATGCTGGACAAGTTCGCTACCAGAGTGAAATGTGGCATTATTGATCATAAGTCTAAGTTTTGCAGTTGGAAGTCACACATTATTCACACAAGGTTTCCAATGTTCTTTAATTTAAAAAAAACACAGCTTTATTTCACAACAAAAGAACAAGTCACATATATGACAGTTTAAAATTTTTCTTTACATAAACAGCAAAGCAGTTTCGCATTTTTTTCCAGACTTTTGAACCGACCTCTCAAACGTTAAAGTTGATCTCTCTCTCTCTGCACCTTCTCTGTGGCTGTAACAACTGTATTCTTTACTCTGTTCTGCTACCCTGATGCACTTTGTATGGTACCATCTGCCTGTACAGCATGTAAAACAACACTTATCAGTGTATCTCGATACATATGATAACAATAAATCAAACATGAGCTCAATACCTTACTGTTGATGACCTAGAAACCTATTTCTAGTTCTTGGAGACAGTAAGGACCGCAGATGCTGGAAGTCAGAGTCAAAAAATGTGGAACTAGAAAAGCACAGCAGGTCAGATAGCATCCGAGGAGCAGGAAAGTAAGCATTTCAGGTTTGAGCCCCCAGTGCAACCCCCTGGTTATCTCCTCTGCCCTGAAAATCTTCAGCCAGCCCAAAAGAAAGGTTCTGACCCAAAACTGACTTTCCTGCTCCTCGGATACTGGGTCTGACCTGCTGTGCTTTTCCAGCTCTACATTTTTTGACTCTATTTCCAGTTCTGATTGACTGGTTTCACAGGTCGGCGCAACATCGAGGGCCGAAGGGCCTGTACCTTGCTGTAATGTTCTATGTTCTATGTTCTATGAACCTCATTTCGGTTCTGACAGCTTCAAAACTTCCACCTTAACTCTCACAGCTTGGAGACTTCACAAACTAAATTGCTTTTCTGCTTGAATCTGTATTTTTTTTTTCCCTTTAGATCTCAAACTACTCATAGCCTCTGATCTGTTTCTCTGGGTCATAAAAATTCAACTTCTTAAACATTTCATCAATTAACCACACAAATGTCTGGTCAAAGCATTTGACTTAAATCACATGTAATCTTGGAGAAGATATAGTTAGTTCTCTGTTAGTTCTAAATATCTTCCTGAACTCTTCTTAAAAAAAAGTTACCTTCACAGAACTGAAGCCACAAATCTACTTTATCTCGACAATCCAAATTCCTAATACTAATGACACATTATAGATTTTTATCACACTACATCCACCGCTTCCCTTTTATCTACCCTATTAATCATATCCTGAAAAAACTAAAATACAAAAGAAATCTGACAAACAGATTTCCCTTAATCAAAACATGTTATTGTTCTATTCAGACTATGATTTTCTAAGTATGTTTTTAATATTTATGTATTAATAGATTGTAGCACTTTCTAACTAATTGATATCAGGGTAATTGCCCTATAGTACCCTATTTTCTCTCTCCCTCTTTTGCCTTGGCTTGTATTGTTACATTTGCAAACTTGCAATTCTGCTACAACTGTTCCAGAATCTATGGCATTTTTATAAAAATCATTGCCACCACATCTACTGTCTGGCAGCTACCTCTTTTTGAACTCTCAGATATGGCCCGTAAGATCCAGGTGTTCTATTGGATTTTAGTCATGTGAATGTCTCTAGTACATTCTCTTACTTCCCTCTTATTAGCCCCTTGGTTACCTTTTATTTCTGGTATATACCTGGTGTCTTCTGCTGTGAAAATAGACTCAATTTGTTCACATCCTTGCTGTTTCCACATTCTCCATGAAAATTTCCTCTATCTCTGCTTCCAAGGGACTAATGTATTTAGCTGCACTCTTCCTTTTCCTAGATACTTTTAATCAGCCTGTTCAGACATGTAGTGACCACCTCTGTAGCTGATGGGACTTGGATCCAGACCTTCCGGCCCAGAGTTAGGGACACTAGCACTGCACCACAAAGTCCTCTTCTTCCTTTATTGTACTTGCAAAAATTCTTACAAACTGTTCTAAAATTCGTTGCTAGATACATTAATTGCTTTTTAAAAAATGTTTTATCAACTTTGTGAAGGCCCATTGCTGGTTGACAAAATGTTCAATATCCTTAGACTTAATACATTTTTTACAACATTTTTCTTTTCATTTAATACTACCCTTAACCACTTTAGTAAGGCCATTGATCTCTCATGCTGAGTTTTTGTTTTTAAGTGGATTATGTTTTGTTAAACATTTTGAATTGCCTCTTTAAATGTTGCAACTTTTTATTTCCCGATTAATCATATCCAGCTCTTCCCTTGTTCTGCTGTATTTGGTTTTGCTTAAGTTTCAAATTTTTGTTTCCGATTAGAATAGTAGAGTACAGTTTTCCCCTCCCTGAAAGTGGTGAGGAAAGTGGCAGGAATGACAAGTATTTCAGCTGGGATAAATACTTGCTCCTTTCTACCATGTTATCATGTGAGTTTTGGGTCAGAAGGCCCATGTGCCACCTTCTCATCCTCCACCAGTTAAGGCCCTTATGTGATCAATTAATAGCCACTTACAAGCCTGAGCCAACGCCCATGCCACCGTATAGCCCATATTGTCTGCTGTTCTGATAGGCAGGAAAATTGGCTGCCCTCCTGACAGGAAAACCAAGCATCCTTCATTTGCCTCAATGTAGAGGCAATGGGGCAGAGGGTGTCTGGTAAAAACTCACCCCAATAGCTTTATATTATTGATGTTGACATCCTGACACTCCCTACCCATGGCCTTCATCTACGAACTAGGTAGCCTGGTATCAATCATTAGGAAAGTGTGAAAGTCTATTAATAAACAAGTATTAACAATGCACTTAGAAAGTCATAGTCTTATTAGAATAAACCAATGTGTTTTTAATGAAGGAACACTTTTCTGCTCACTTTTCTGCAACTCTTTTTGTGGCGATTACTGCACAGCCTGGGCCTGTAGTGACATTCTCAGTTCCCCGAGGCTGGCAGCCTCATGTAGGAAGGTGCTACAGTGGCAAGGCTCCTGGTTGGATGAAAAGTTTGCCAGATAGCCCTTAAGCCCCTAATTGTTGCTTGATGTGATAAGTTTTCTCACTGTCAGGAGAGGGGTGTATCGCCCCCAAATTTATCTTCCCCAAAGCTTACTGCACAGAGCACAACATCTTGGCCTTAATGTGGAATTCAACTGTATTGTAATCATTAGTTCCCAGCTGATCTTTTACTATGAGATTACTAAATAACCTTGCTCATTTGATAGCACTAAATGTAATACAGCTTTATCCCAACATAATATATTGCACCAGGAAACTCATTTCTAGAAAAACATTTTACAAACTCAACTTTCAGTCCACTTTTGGCAAATTTGATTGTTCCAGTCAATATGCAAATCAAAGACCTCCACAATCATTACATTGTCTTTGTTACAAGATCTAATACTTTCTTATATAATATTCTGTCCAAAAGTATAAATACTTTTAGACAGGCTATAAACTACTTCCAGTAGTGTGTTCTGACCCTTGCTATTTTTAACCTCCACCTTTACAGATTCAACCTTCCAAATTTCCAAGCTAAGACATCCTGATATCATTTTGTATTATCAGGGCCACTCCTTCTTTTCCATTCTGACAGTATTTTCAAAGTATTGTGTGCCTTTGGAATATTTATTTCTCAATCTTAGTCAATCTGCAACCTTGTATCTGTAATGATAATTACATCTAAAACTATCTATCTCTGTTATTGCTCCTTTCACCTTTAGCCACGAGTGAAGTTCCGGAAGACTGGAAGGTGGCTAATGTTGTTCCATTGTTTAAGAAAGGTAGCAAAGACAAGCCAGGGAACTATAGGCCAGTGAACCTAACATCAGTGGTACGCAAGTTATTGGAGAGGATACTGAGGGACAGGATCAACCAACATTTGGATAGTCAAGGTCTGATTTGGGATAGTCAGTATAGATGTGTGCGTGGGAAGTCATGTCTGACAAATCTTTTAGAGATTTTCAAAAAGATAACCAAGAGGATACATGAGGGTAGGGCAGTGGATGTTGTCTATATGGACTTTAGTAAGGCCTTTGACAAAGTCCTACACAGCAGGCTAGTCATGGACATTAAATCACATGGGATCCAGGGACAACTAGCTAATTGGATTCAAAATTGGCTCGATGGTCGGAAGCAGAGGGTGATGATTGAAGTTGTTTCTCGGATTGGTGGCCTGTGACTAGTGGTGTGCCACAGGGGTCAGTGCTGGGACCTTTGTTATTTGTTATTTACATAAATGACCTGGATGTGAATGTACAAGGTCTAATTAGTAAGTTTGTGGATGATACAAAATTAGGAGATATTGTTGATAGCGAAGATGGTTGTCAAAAATTACGGAAGAATCTTGATCAGATAGGGAAGTGGGCTGAGGATCGGCAAATGCAATTCAATACAGATAAGTGTGAGGTTTTGCATTTTGGAAAGTCAAATCAAAGTAGGACTCATACAGTAAATGGTAAGGTCCTGAGGAGTTTTGTGGAACAGAGGGACCTAGGAGTACAAGTACATAGTTTGTTGAAAGTGGCATCACACGTAGACAGGGTGGTGAAGAAGGCATTTTACATGCTGGCCATCAGTCGAGGCATTGAGTATAGGAGGTGGGACGTTATGTTAAGTCATTGGTGAGGCTGCATTTGGAGTATTGTATACAATTTTGGTCACCTTGTAATAGGAAAGACATAGTTAAACTGGAAAGTGTGCAAAGAAGATTTATGAGGATGTTGTCAGGACTAATAGGCCTGAGTTATAGGGAGAGGTTGGCCAGCATAGGACTTTACTCCTTGAAACATAGGAGAATGAGAGGTGACCTTACTGAGGTGTATAAAATCATGAGGGGCATAGATAGGATGAATGCATATCGTCTTTTTCCCAGGGATTGGGAATTGAAAACTAGAGGGCATAGGTTTAAGGTGAAAGGGGTTAGATTTAAGGAGGACTTGAGGGACAACTTCTTCACACAGAGAGTGGTGCTTATATGGAAAGAGCTGCCAGAGAAAGTGGTTGAGGCAGATACAATAGCAACATTTAAAAAAAAAATTTGAATAGGTACATGGATGAGAAGGGTTTAGAGGGATATGGAACAAATGCGGGCAATTGGAACTAGCTGAGTGGACACCATGGTCAGCATGGACCAGTTTGGTCCGAATGGCCTGTTTCCATGCTGTATTACCCTATGACTCTATTCTATGACTTAATTTATATTATTGCAGATACTCCACATGTTCATATAAAGACACTTCATTTGTTTACTACTATTTCCTCCTTGAAACTTGCTCTCTGATGCACTAAGACTGTTTATATTTCTGTTCCTTCCTGTTCCACAAAACCACATTGATATACCTTTCTATTGCCTCAACTTTTATCTTTAGACTTCTAAATCGCCCTTCACCTGAACCCTCCTCCCTCTCTGGAAGCTTAAAGCTAATTTGCATAATTTGACCATATATGCTAGTGCACTATTATATTTGTGTGCCCTGTTCCTTCCTGTCTCACTCTGGTTACCATTGCATTTATCACCAACCTGTACTATCACCTTGCCTTTTCTCTTTAACTTTCCAAATCTCCCCCCATTTGAACAATTCCTACTCGCCTCCCCGTCGCACAACATTATTTAGTTTAAAGTCCTCAATATACCGCTAGCTATATGACTCATTGTTCAAGGTTGATTACTTTTCATCATCACTGAAACTTCAACTCTATTCTCCCTTTTACAATGCTGCTTGAGGTGCTAAGTATTTCTAGCATTTTCTGGTTTTATTTCAGATTTCCACTTCTGAAGTATTTTGCTCTTGTTTAAGTTTGGGACATCTGGCATATATCTTCTTACCAAGTCTATACAATAGGCAATATCGTTTTTAGGAAATATGTACATTGTGGTAAACAGTTTGCAAACTGGATAGATATGTGGGGTGGCACAATGGTTAGCACTGTTGCCTCATAGCACCAGGGACACGGTTTCAATTCCAGCCTTGGGTGACTGTCTGTGTGGAATTTGCACATTCTCTCCATGTCTGCATGGGTTTCCTCTGGGTGCCCTAGCTTCCTCCCACAGTCAGGTGGATTGGCTGTGCTAAATTGCCCATAGTGTCTAGGTTGGAAAATGCAGGGATAGGGTAGGGGTGGGTCTGGATGGGATGCTCTTTGGAGGGTCTGTGTGGACTTGATGGGCTGAATGGCCTGCTTCCACACTGTAGAGATTCTATGGTATGTATGGGCGAATCATCCAGTGTTTGGTATTAGGATGATGTATATTGGTATGGACTTGGGTATAGGCAACATAACTTCAAAGGTACAAAAAACAGAAGTTGCTGGAAAAGTGCAGTTCTGTGGAAGAAGCACCGGACCTGAAACATTAACTTTGATTTCTCTTCACACATGTTGCCAGACCTGCTGAGCTTTTCCAGCAACTTCTTTCTGATTTACAGCATCTGCGGGTCTTTCGGTTTTTGTAACTTCGCCCCTCAACCTCCTATGCCGCATGAAAAAGACCCAGTCTTTCTGGTCTATTTTTACATCTCAAAACCTCCATTTCTGGCAACAGCCTGATAAATCTTTTCTGAACCCTCTCCAGTCTGATAATAGCCTTCCTGTAACAGGGTGACCAGACTACTCACTGTACTCCAGAAGAGGCCTCACCAATGTCCTGTACAATCTCAATACAATGTTCAATTCCTATACTCAAAGATGCTGCCAGACCTGCTGAGCTTTTCCAGCAACTTCTGTTTTTGTTCCAACACTCATCGGCCTGAGCAATGAAGTCAAGTGTGCTAAATGTTTTTTAGGCACAATGACTACCTGTAATGCAAATTTCAAAGAATTATGTACTGGAACCCCTAGGTCTCTCTGTTTGATAACACTATCCAGGGCCCTACCATTAACTGCATAAGCCCTGCCCTTGTTTGTTTTACCAAAATGCAATATCTCACATTTATCCAAATTACACTCCATCTGCCACTTCTCAGCCCATTGACCTAATTGATGAAAATCTCTTTGTAATCCTAGATCCTCACTGTCCACTATACCACCAATCTTGGTCTCATCTGCAAACTTACTAACCATGCCTCCTATATTCTCATCCAAATCATTTACATAAATGACAAACAAAAGTGGACCCAATACCAAACCCTGTGAAACACGGCTGGTCACAGGCCTACAGTCCGAAAAATATCGGGGAGCAAACATTTGTGGTACATACAAATATATATATTAAGAGTAGGAAAAGGTCATTCAGCCCAACTGCACACCATTCAATAAAATTCTGGCTGATCTGATTACTCTACATTCCTGCCTACCCCTAATAACCTTTCACCCTCTCACTTATCAAGAATTTGCTTATTAGGAATAGAGCTGATGCTAAGAAATATGTTGCATAGAACAACTAGAGTTGCATTGATTCATTCATTGAGTATTTTGAACTGTTTAACAATAGCCTGGGTACATTTATATTCTTTTCTGAATTCTTACATGATTTTGTGTGCTCATTGTACAATTGCATATTTAATCTTCAGAATGTGAACCTGTTGTGGGGGTTGGTGAAAGAGGCTAAAACATATGATTTGAGCTGTTATTAGGTGATTTGTGACTTTTTTTATTTCAACTGATTTTTTTAGACTATATTGTGGATAGTGATGTTTGCTAATAAATAGTGGCTTATTCTAAATGACTGGGACATTTTAATCAAGCATTACATTTCACACTTGTAAGATAATAGACACTTTTTCACTCTTTATGAATCTGAAGCAGATGTAAATCTTTAACTTAATGGATTATTAATTCTTTCCATATCTAATTATATCTTTTCCTCAGCAGTTGTGAGATAGGGCAATTATTTTTTCATTGTTGCAATAAAGGGAAAGTGTTATAAAATTCCTAAGTACATCATTACTTTTATTCGGATTTTTCTTTATTCTGTGGCTTTTTAGAAAATCTGTGCTCTGAAACAAATTGAACAAGATATTATTTGTTACTTACCTAATGTTGCCAGGACTCCACAAGCTGTCCAGACAATCAAACAAGGTCCCACTGCTCCAGTGTTGGATAAAACAGCTTTAGGCGAGATAAAGATTCCAGAGCCAATCATTGTCCCCACAATGAGACTGACACCACTGATCAAGCCAACCTTTACAAGGAGTGGAATAAAGAAGAAAACAAAATACTTTAACAAGAAAACAAAGAACAAAAGGCCATTTAGCCCATTTTGTCCAAAGCTCAGGCAAAATTTATTCTTTGAGAGAATACTTATGACCTATTCTATTCTTGAGAGAATGTTTTGCATAATTATTCCAAAAGATACCCCATAGACAATCAAGAAACCTTCAAACATGTTTATTAATCCAGTGAGAAAACCAAGGATCCCATACATAACTTAAAAAGGTTCATTATCTTGACCCCACTTTTTGAAAATTTGTTGATTTGAAGCCAAAGTTTCTGCTGTTGTATTTCTTTATAAAGTATTATCATTTAACCTATATTTCCTCTCTTTTTGCTTCCTCTAAATATATATCCACTTACATTTTTCTGCATTCAATTTTATTAGCATCTGTCTGTCCAATCCACAAAAGCTCCTGAACTCATTTACAACTATTTGCATAGTTAGCCATGCTGTGCATTTTATGCCATCAACAGTTTTGCTCCATAAACAAATCCAATTCATTTATCTGAAGAGAAACAACATAATTTGGGAGACACTAATTGCATTGCTCCAAACTAGAAATACCCACAAAAATAAGACATTTTATTTACTGTTACTGGGCCAATCGTCATTCCAAGCTGTGATTTTAGTTCCAATCCAGGCAACCCTTATTAGTAACCCTTATTAGTTACCCTTGCATCAACCCATCTCTCTCAAAACCAGATTGAGAGGATGAAAAGGGTCTAGGCCCGAAACGTCAGCCTTTCTGCTCCTATGATGCTGCTTAGCCTGCTGTGTTCATCCAGCTCTGCACCTTGTTGTCTCGGATTCTCCAGCATCTGCAGTTCCTGCTATCTCTGAGAGGATGAAAATGTTGTTTTGATGATATTACCTACATTGGATAATTACATTCTGAACTATTATGAACAATTTAAATAGTTATAGAATAAAATCCTTGCTAATTTAGGTAAAGGTATTGGCTCTGAAGGTCTGTAATGAATCATGTCCCCAGGTACAAAGTTAAGCTCATTGAGAACTTTGGTTGCAGGATCCTGTGGATTTTCCAAAGTCAAATAGAAACTCTGCAACATCGATGTCATTAGCATTTAGGAGTGTCTGGATGCCCAGCCACTGAAGAAACAGAAAGTTCAGCTGAAGTTGGCTGCTCCAAGGAGCAGAGATTCCAGGCACCACACCACCAAATTATAACTTGTTGCTGTCTTAGCCTTTTCCATATTTTGTTCCTTTTTAAATCTCACCACTTTTCTTTAGGGGTTCATGCAACAACACCAGCCTAAATTTTCAAGCAGTTCTCTGTTCTACAACAAGTCATATTGGAAATCAGGACATGGGGAGTGCAAAGAGTCTTTAGCTGTGCTTAAGTCAATATTTTGAGCAGGTAGAAATTCTGCCCACAAAATGTCAACCCAACATCTAGAGTATCAGTCTCTTGGCCAGCCTAATGTTTAGCCTTCTGGCATGCTTCTGCATAGGCACAAGCACCTGTCATTTTTGGGGGTCAAAGTATGTTTGCACATATTTTAACAAGGAAGATATGGTGGTACACAGTGTTACAGGAAATCTAGCTTCACATTCAGTTCATTCTTGTTCAGTCGCATATTGCCGGTGTTATGCTCTCTTTGGCAATGCACTGACCTGCTGTATAAAATTGGCCACAGCTCAATGAAATTCCTTCCAAAATCACTGCCTAGAATGAGAGAAAATTCATTCACAATAGCAGTTATTGTGAAGGTAGTGGCAAAGCAGACATAATTGCAACGTATACCTGCAGATCCTAACTTGGAGGTACAGTAAAAATTTTCTATGAGACCAGAGTTACCTTAAACACTATTAGAACAAGTACTGTGTTTTTCACAATACTCTGGTGATTTGGATTTGTTACATCTCTATTCAATCACCATTTTTTTCCGTAATTCATATGCTGTGTTAATGCAGCAAACCTTAAAACAAACATTTCTCTAATTTCTTTGAATTTTTCTTATCAATTTTCTTCTTTCTCTATCCTTCCTGAAGATGTTGATACCTTCTCCATGGTACAGATTCATGATTGTTCGTCATTATCGGCTCCTTGTCCCATTTTCTTGTAATTCCTGTGAAAGCCTCAACAGAAACTATAGGATGGGTGTTTTACTGTGGAGTATGCCACAGACAGGTCCAATGCTGTATTCAACCACCACATGCACACACAGATAGACACACACACACATATTGCCATTTCCAGATTGGTGCATGGACAGGAGAAGATGGAAATTTAACAAATTTTCTGCTTTCTAATACTCTGACATTACTACCAATTATGGCATGCCCAGAAACTCCAACTACCAGCACCAATCAAGCTAAGATCAGCTGGCTCAGCACAGATTGAGGATTAATTCTGCTACTTTCAAAGTGTGTGAAGCTCAGGGACCTGACCTCTGAGACATCACATTGCTGATACAAAAGGACAAGCATTTGTATGGCGTTTTCACTCAGGGTAGTCCAAACTGCTTCACAGCCAATGAAGTACACTTTAATCACAATTGTGTAGACAAATGCAACAATCAACTTGAGGACAGTCCAATCGCACAAACATAGTCAGGCCTGTAGCGTATTTAATTAAGCAAAAGATCAGGACCCCAGATGAATTCCTCAGTTTCTTTTCAAATATTGGCATTGAATCTTTTAGGTCCACCCTACACAGGTGGTCAGGGTCTTGGTTTCTTGTCTTATTCAAGAAATAAAAAGTCACTGACAGTTCAGCATTCTTTTTGTATTGCACTAATTATCAGCCTAGCTCATGGGCAGAATTTTCCATTTCGTAGTTTTGTCGAGTGAGATTTATGGTACTGGGTTTGCAAAGGCTCAGCACGACTTTGCTCACAAAGTCTTTCACCATTCACCTCATTAATTATGCTCTTGGCCTCTTGGATGCCTTTCTTGAGGAATCCTGTGGCCACAGAACCAAAATTGCTTGCCACTGCTGGCACCTACTAATTTTCAGGCCTCAAGTGCCATATTTAAAGGCCAACAACGCATCACTTCAGACATCACCAGCCAGGAGCTGTCCCTCACACAGTGGTGCTCGAGCTTCATCATTCAACAAATGGTCCAGAGGAAAGGATAGCTTGCTCAATGCTTCGTAGACAGGGACCTGGAGGCATCAGTGAATGGGATGGTGGAGTGGAGAGCAATCCTTTTTCCACTCATCAACCATGGGAGGCCATGGTATCAGACCAAGTCAAAGTGGACACAGATTGCAGCCTGGATCAGTGCTTTGTCCTTGATAAAAGGAATGCCCAGCAGAATGGGGGAAGGAGAGTGATCTTCTGCACTTTGGTAGGATACATTTTACCATCTTCTCTCTGCTATCTCATACTCACAGGGCAGACACCATTCTCTAAGTCAGTCACCGAAGGCAGATTCCACCAAGCTTCATGGACTACAGCTCTCACTATTGTGTATATTATATCCATGCAACAGCTCTCACCCACCTCATCCTCCCAAATTACTGAGACTATCGACCCTCTGAACTTCCTGCTCACTCATTATCTGATACTTTGCCACCTCCTATGCTTGTGCGTTGCCGCTAACTGCTCTTCCATCCACCTCCATCTCACTCAATCCCTCCTCCCATCATAATGCAGGAAAAATTTGCCCATAACCAGGCAAAGAGAAATTCATGATTAGGCCAGTGAAGAGTCTGACTGATCACATGCGGATGGAGAAACCCCAGTTGACAACCAACCCGATGAGCTTCATTGTGCTGTGCTGCTCTCCCATCACCGTCAGTACTCACTCATCTTTCATCTGCACAAGCTTTTATCTCTCCTGAACACTCATTTCTTCTCTTTTGTGATGCAGCACTAGTGCCATCCAGTTGACCCTCAGAAAGAGGCCAGCGCCAGAGACCCTCATCTGCAGCTCCACTTCTGGGGAATCCTCCAAGAGTGGACCAACAAGGCTTCCAGTGGCACCCTCCACCATCAGAGACTTTCACCTCAGTGCTAGATGCGACTCAGGAATGCAGTCCAGTGAGCATAGCACCGACATATCTCTGCAGATAGTCAAGGAAGAAACAGCACAGGTTTCAGACACCTAGAGGATCGCTGGAGACCAGGTATCTACTCAATCCCATGTAGGTGATGACCTCCCCGTTCTTTGCCATTAACAACTTTGTCAAGCTGCACAGGCAGGCACAGGAACCTCAGGCAGGTTTGACAGAGGTAATCGGTTAACTGGATCAAAGAATGGAGGAGCCACCAATGTTATTAGTCAAGTTGTGACTCTGGTACGCATATGTCTGGCTGGGTCCATGGACAGCATGGTGGTCACCATGGAGACCCAGGACGAGCACATTACATTACTGGTATTTACATGGCCCTGCACTCCAATGTTCTAGCTGCAGGTGCTCAGCGTCAATAGCAAGGTGAAAGGGATGAAGGGCCATCTTAAATAAAGTGAGCTTTAATGAGCTGCAAATGCAGGCAAGTAAGGTAGTCATCATTCAATTCTGAAGTCACCTTTTACAACTTGATGGGGAAAATGGGAAAAGTTTTCACAACATCAAACATCTGATTTTTAAAATTCTCACTGTAACTTCGCACCTTTCCCACCATTCACAGGAGCGAGCGGAAAATTCTGCTGCATACCTTTAAGTCTCTGGGGTGGAACGTGAATCCATACCTTCCTGTATCACAGGCAACAGGGTTATGACTGAGCCCAGGCTAACACTAGCATGAACTCATCTCCTGTTTCTGTGTGTCCCAAAATATTCCAGTTCCATCAAATTTCTGGCAGAATTGAATTCTGTAATCAAGAAATGATGCTAAGTCTGCCAAGCAGGGATGTGGACTGGTATCAATAATGCATTTACTTATAATTACAAACTTAGTTTCTAATATAAATAAGGCATTCACGAATTCACTAAAACTGCCTCATCAAATTATTTTTCTTTACTTAAACGAGGCTTTCATTAAACTTGCATAAAT